TGACATGTGTATATATACTTTATGTGTGATATAAAGTACGGGACATGTATATATAGGTTGGAAATGAGAAAGAGTTTCAATCTTACTTGGCTGTGATGACAAAAGGAGATAAATTATTTGGGGGTTTTGTTTAGTTTAGATACCAGATCAGTCAGAGTGGAAACCCCCACAATCATTATTATGTGTTTTCCCGTTACACCTCATTAATATTTAACCAGTTAAGTCATCACAAGTGTCTTCATCCAGATTCTTTCTTCACCAATCAGATCCCAGACACACGAGCTCTCATGTATTCTAAGGATAAAGGCTCAGTGACAGAAGAGGAGTTTCACCACACATGCTGGAATGTTTCTATAATTAGACGTCATACAGGTCATTGGATATGTCGACGTGAACGCAGGACAAAAGCAGTTGTCAGCTGTTGACAGTCGACTTTAAATCCTGGATACGTGTTAAATTCCTTTGTGAATGCACACAGACAACAGGTCTAAAGGTTTAACAGTGATAAATGTTCTATTCTGACCTGAAGGTTATATATTAGAGAGACTTTTCTTCTTCCATATGATGGAGCTTCACGTGGCCACATTTTTCCTTCAGAGCATCAGATGTCTAAATATTTGATCGTACACAGACAGGTGGTATTTGTGTTATATTATATATCGGTAGCCGTCTTGGCCGACACCCAGGAAAAGCAGAATTGTGCTCAGCGGTAATCAGGAGATTTGTTACCGTGGAGTTTTCATTCCACTGAGGTTTTCAGCTCCCACACATTCACAACAAACGTCAATTCTTTATCGTGCAAAACTTTATTTAAATGCTTCAGAGCTATAATGCAATTCCAGATTTTTCCTCTGCTTCTTATTTTGTTAAGTAGAGCGTTGATTTCTACCATCAAGAGCGTATTATGTGCTTTATTTTCCACAATGTCTGACTGGCTCTCAGGGATCCCAGTCAACTGGGATCTTGGCTGTCTGGGAGAGGTCAAATGCCAAACCTCAAACCTTTACAGGCAGCAATCTCTGCCACACTGGAATGCATAGTAAGAAACACTTCAGTGCTTTGCAGGAGATTCAGGAGCTCATACCCGAAAAAGTTCAAACTGCAAACAGCCAAATTACTGAGACTTGTTTTAGGGGTTGTTTTTGTGCCCAATTAAAGCTGCTTAACAAACACATTCACTCAAAGCTAAAAATATGTATAATCACACATCATTAAACACTGTGGGCGTCACTAACATTTCAGCTGAGCTCCGACAGTTGATCATTGCTGCTCATCCACTGTGAAAACACATCAGCAGCACTGAACGTGTAAGGGACAGCAGGACTGGTATTTATTTCAGGGAGAAGCTCAGCGTTGGCGACAGACATGGGGTAGCAGGCGGAGCCAGAAAGACTGGAGCTGTCCTTTGCCACAGCTGCACCCTGGGACTCTGTCACGGTGCCGTTAGCGTCCGTCACAGCGGCACTCGAGGGAGATGAGTGGTCATTTGCAGCCTCTGTGGTGGCCGGGCGGTCGGAGGAAAGCGAGGCAGAGGGGAGTTCCCGGAGCTTAGTGTATAATGTGCTCAGGGTCACAGGGATGGACATGCACCTGAATGAAAAACACACAGAGACATCAGATAAAGAATCCAAGGCAATGATAATACAAAATAAAATATAGCAACTTTCTCAATGTTATAAAGTCCGTGAAGAAGTGAATGTGGAGTGGAGCAAACCACCAGGGGACAATTAAGATGATTTGGCGAGCGGTCATATCCTCCACCTTTATTTACAGTCTATTCTTCAAACTGAAGGAGGAGGGAAGGTTAAACGTACCTCTTCATTACAGTGGAGATGTCTTCATCCAAGGTTGGGTCACATGTTCCTGCTCCAAACAACCTGCAGCTGATCTGATGAGCGTCTGATATGTTCACTAACACTGTGGAAAGAAACTGAAAACTTTTATTACACAGTATGGCTCATAATGATTATTTTTTTAAAATAGTGGAACAGGGACATTATCATTTCTTACAATCTCAGTGAAATTACATTTTCTAATCGATCAACAGTCTAAAAAATAAGTTTAAAACATCAAATCTTCAAGTTTGAGAAGCTGCTTACAAACAGCCAGGGAGTCAGTGTGGGGCGGGTGGAAGGTCACAGAAAAGCTGGTGTCAGACTCTGGAAGGACTTCGAAGCGCAGGTCACAAACCGAACCTGATAACAAGATTCATCAATGAAACATGACAGGACCACGTCTCCAGATGTACCTGCAGCTGGATGATGTAAAGCTCCACCTACCTGGAAGGGCCCTCTGGGACGTGACACAGCTCCTCAGCAGGGCGTTAATGACACACTGATGGCGCAGCAGCTCCAGGGTAGCCGGGACGTGGGCGGGGTGGGTGAAGGGAACACTGTCCATCACTGCCGCTCTCTGTGCGGGCGCCTGCCACGCAGCTCCAGGGACGATATAACTGTGCGTCACACCACCAGGAAGAGGCTGCAGAGAAAAAAATTTAAGTATTGATCACTTACCATCTTCCCAGAGTTACACAATTGATTTTTAAACTGCACAGTGTATTTTTTAATATCTCAAATCCTATTTTTACTACATTTATAATATATTAATGTATCATGTGAATACAGTGTCATTATCTGCCTCATGTTGCCAATACTGCTGTACTGCCGCAATTTCCTTCTGGGGATAAATAAAGTATATAATCTTTCCATTACTTTGTGCAAAGCAGGTTATCTTATCACCAAGAAAGCAACCATTACATCTCTGCGTTTATCTGGACAAAAGGGTGGATCCAGGCATTTTTAAAAAAATTACTTTCTTTAAAGAACGTTTTTCACATTTACACCAATTTCCATGGAGATAATTCATCCATCTTTTGAAAAAAAAAGTAAATTCTATGTGGCTTGACTACATTTAAGGAAACTGTTAGGCCTCGGCAGAGGTGCGCGTTCTACTGAGTGCCATTCTATTATGTCTATGTATTACATCTAAGTCTCATTATTTAACTTTACACAAGTTTGTAGATCTTTCAAACAAAACCTACATACCACAGTAAAAATAGTATCCTGCTCATCTAATGTCTCCTCATTCTGGTTTGCACTCGCTGAACCTCTCATCAGATGCTTGGGTAATGGTGCCCACTGCAGGTCAACATCTGCTACAGTCACATCTACGAAATATCACAGAGGAGGAAGGAGAGTGTGATGGGGGGGGGGCTGCATAAGAGCTGCTACTTCTAAAAGTACATTTCAGAAATGTTTAAAATCACATATTCATTTTGTGTAGTATTTTCTTCCCACACCTGTAATTTGGCTCAGCTTCTTCACAAAAGATGTCAGCACTGGTAATGGCGGCTGCAGTTTGAGGAGAAAGCAGGCAGGCAGCGTCTCGTGCGGCGCCTCATCCAGCGGCAGGAACACGGGGAAACTGCCACAGGCATTTCACTACATTAACACTACTGACGGTGACATTCACGTTCACTGTGGGATGGAAAACGAACAGTAATCCTGGCGAGCGGGAGATGAAGCGGTGACACGTTACCCCTGCGGATCCAGCTGTGGAGGCTGCGGGATCACACACGCCATCTGAAGCTTGTGAGGGAAGTCGCTGACGCCCACGGTCACCTGGGCGGCCTGGACAGTTGCCTTTGGATCTGTTATTTCTGTAAAAACAAGAGCTTTAATAGGGAAATCTATTTGTTAAAAGCCTTTTTAAAGCTTTCACAAGGGAAAGCGCCTCAGATCTATCAGTAATAATTTTGGTTTATCACCCAAGTCTGCTTTGTTTGGCATCTTAGGTGAATCTGTTTTCTTCCAATCAGTCGGGGTCATGAAGAACTGGATGGTCAGGGGGCAATCTAGAATGATAAAATTTAAAATATAAACAGATAAGTAAATGTTGTATGTGTTGATAACTGTTGCATTTTGCATCTGTACCTTCTTTTCCAGCTATTAGACACCCAATCCTGCCATTGTTAATCATGTCCATCTGAGGGTCACAGTCTTTATGTGCCCTGAAAACAGACAAACTATTGATTACACTGCACAACTAATAATTTAAAAAATTGATTGATAAAGGTGATGTCTTTAAATTTTTCCTGCATCAGAGTATGAGATTGCACGACATCATAATTGAGAATATGTTGCTCACCTTGGCAGATGTGATAATTGCTGCAAGTCTTTCGAGAGGTGTTGTAGAGATGCAAACAGTTTTAATTTGGTTTCACTAGAGGAAACATAAATACTGAAATGGATTTGGTGGCAAGATGCTCAAAAATTCTGCAAGATAAAAGTCTTCTGAGTGCATACTTGTCTCCTGGGATGTTGTACTGGGTAAAGAGGCCTGATAACTTCATGGAGAACTCAGCAAAGTTCTTTAACCTGCGTGGATATTCAAACAGTTCATTAAAATAGCTTGTGTCAAATTAATCTCTGTAGTTTAGAGACAAGACTGAATTTTACCGTCGCTTTCCCTCTTACCTCAGCAGCTGCAGAAGAGACTCGCTGGACTGTAAAGCAATCTCACTTAATTAACCCACAGAGTAACAGGGACAATGATGTTAATGGCTTGTTGGACACAGCACTTACAACGGGGGCTGCTCCCTGAGGGGCCACCTTTACCTCCTCCACTCCCCCACACGCCACCAACACCACCTCCAGGTAGAATAAGTCTGCTGTGAGGTAGCACGTGGCGTCAGTGATGTGGAAGCCCATTCTAGACAGGAAGCAGGAATATGGAAATAAATCTGAATCAATTCTGTAGCTGACCTATAATATGAAAGTTTTACTGAGCAACAGCGCCCTCTGCAGCCAAACATGGTGATTGATTGAAGAGGAGTATAGAGATACATCTGTTCAATCATAAGAGCAAAGACAAATATTGATACGTCAAATCTTTACCCTTGTTGTTTGGCTATTATTTCCAGACGATGCCTCATGGTATTCATAGATGACACTGAAAACACACAGAGCCTGACTCACTCTCAGGTAAAGTGAAATACTGGTACTAGAACATCATCAGTGTACTTATTATTTACCGTTAAACTCGTCCTGGAGCCGTTCCAGAGTTCTAACCAGCGGCTCACAGGGTTTGGATTCATCTCTGGATTTCTCCTATGAGGGGACAAAGGCAAGAAGAGAAAAAAACCAACAATGGACCAGTTGTGCGTCAGTGTGATGCTTGTGTAAACAATCTTTGGTCCCATCCCGACATGACGTTACACACAAGCTGCATGATGGCAAAGGGGAGTGTTGACATTTGGACGCTTTGCACTGTGGGAGGCAGCGATCTGTATGTACCTGCCTGTCCCAATCCCAGGTGCACTGCCCTCAGTGATTAGTTTTAGGCAAAGCAAAACCGGTCCTGCAACAGCATTCAGCTTTATTTATATAGTGCCACTTTACAGAGTATAATCAAGACTTGATAGAGGGAGACACCACACAGTTCAGGCTGGAAACTAAATGAAAAGCCAATAGATGCATTAAACCTTTGTACCACATATCTCCTCAGAGCATCAAATATTCAAGTCTCTTTTACTAGACTCCAGAGACTGACCTCTGCCAAGCTCCACTCGGTTTTAATCCAAAAGTATTATCTACACTGCTGCTCCACCCATGACAAATCTAGAGACAACTGACCCACCCTCTCCTCCACAGCCTCAGCACACACGAAACAAGTTACAAGAACAATTGTTAGACTTTCTGTTGGGTGGAAAACACACTGGAAACTATGAAGCTTTGCATGTTTGGACTCTTGAAGCTAGGCTATCGAAAAGTGGAGCCACCACCACCACAACAGTCTCATTAAATTCATTCAAACACTCGGAGATATCAGTGAATTATTTATTGGGAAATTGATGAAAATGTCACAAAAATACCCAATCTCATGATAAATACATTGTTTTTAATCCTGAAGGAAATTCTTGTGCCCAGTCTGGCTCCGAAAGTACAATAAAGAACAACAGAATAAAATGATTGGACAAATATATAACTATACAAACAAGATAAGAATATAAATATATAAAAATTATAAAAGAATAAACCAAAAACTAGACTCAAATAGGATGTGAAGGAAAAACCAAAACTGGGGGCACAAAATTTCCCATGTCTCATCCTTCCACCAAGTTTCTCGGAAATCTAGGGATTTTTTGCATAATCCCACGGACAAACAATCCCCTCGGCAGAGATAACCAGTGGAGCTTAATGTAAATATTGTAAAAAGGTGGAGACTGACATATCTTCCTAAATAAGAGGCCACACCAGGCTAAGGTCATAAAGCAGCTTCCTTTCATTAATGAGACTTCAAACAACTTGTTTCTAAAGGTTTCTTGCACGTATACGTGTCATGATGTTGACAAGAAGTGAATTGACTGCTGATCAAACAACAAAGATGTGTGTGTGTTCCAGGACAGATGATCTCATTCACCACACACACAGTCACACCAGTTCCTGACTCACAGCACATCATCATGTCACTGAAGTCATCCAGAAACCAGTCTAATAACTGGGATTAGCACTGTTCCTCCACACACACAGAGCAGATAAGGGGAGATATGATCCTGCAGATGAGGGTTTGGGGTGATCGCCATCATTTTCATTGGAGAGTAAAAACCAAACTGTGATAATTTGATTAGAGACCATGACTGAAATGTTTGTCTCACCATGCATCTTCGCACCAGCTGGAAAGTGTCATTCCAGGACTTTTCTGCAAACTTCAAGTGCAGCTCAGAAATGATGGACTTTCCTTTCATCTCTGTAGAAAACAAACATGTTTCACACTCGTTTCTTTAATTTTGGGGACATTTTCACTGTCAGAAACATGTATTTCAATAAAACCAAACAGTCACTGATGTGATCATGATGTGGGGACATTACCTGGCTCGTCTGGACAGGGTCTCCTCCTGAACAAACGTGGCAGCACTTAAATGCAGATTAACCAATTAATCAATTATCTTCCAGCACAATCTGCTCGTAATCTCTATTGTTGTGTGCAGATATCATTCAAACAATAATCTGAAACTCAGTTTAAATAATAATTAAAACCCCTGTTGCATTCACACACGCACACACACATACATACACACACACACACGCACAGTAAAGGTGCGGTTCTCCCATGCGGGCGGGCGTTGCCACCGACCGGATCCGAGCCCGCAGGACGTGCGGGGAAGCCAGTCTGCTGCTAACGGAGGTAGCCGAGGAGCTAACCATGAGCTAACGAGCGGCTAGCCGGAGTCCCCTCAGTTCGCCACCGTGGTTCAGCCCTCGTCAGACGCTTCTTTGTGGAGGAGATCACGGACACGTTTCCCGGTAGGTGATGCTTCACACTCACGGACACACACAGACACACACACAGACACGCACTCACGTATGTTGTTGTTGTTGGGTCACGTCCGCATCGTTTAGTTGTGATTAGCTGCTTGTTAGCTCCTTTTTTGCGTTTATGCGTGTGTATGTGTGTGTGTGTCTGCTCCAGCTAGCCGGCTAGCTCGGAAGGAGCCGAGTTGAGTTCCCTCTTATGGACAACGTGGTTTTTAATGAATTTATATTTAACGAGTCTCCGGAGCCGCTTCCTTCACGGTGAACTTCCGCAGACGCTAACCTGCCCCGGTGGGTTAGTTAGTTAGTTAGCTTGTCAGCTAGCAGCGCGCACCGTAGCTAACCTGTCAAACCAGCGGCTACCTCGCGGTTATTAAACGGTTGTACCCTGATATTGATAATTTATATGTTCATACGACATGTTTGTTATCGGCTAACACTGTTCATCGTCTCACTGTAACCCTCGTTCGATTAGCATTAGTTAGCACTTATTGCCAGATAATGATCCGCTGGTGGAAGTGTTCATGTTGTGTGTTTTGTGCTCATGGTTTTCACCTAAATTTATTGTTATTGACAATTATTTAACCATCTCAATCATACAACTTCGTATTGTAATTGATTGATTTAAATAGCTCTGCACCTAAAAGCCTGTCACACGTGGACAGATGTGGGTAAACACACAATTACATACTTTGCACAATCCATTCTCTTGTGTTTACTTAAAGCATATTTATTATATTTCATTTTTGTTTCCTAGTTTTATATTTGCACAAATACACCACAGCAAATTCCCTGCATGTGTAAACTTCCCAGACTGTGGACGTTGCAATGGTTAAAGTAAAAGGACTTTGTCTTAAGTACTGAGTCATAACATTGACTTTCAGAGTCCAGGCCTGTTGGCTGTATTCCTAGAGATCGTAAAAAGACATGAGCACACACGTCTGGACATCATGTTATTCCCTGGATCACTAAATCCATGTGGCACATGTCCGATTTTATCCACAAGAGTTTGGAAAACACTGCCAGTAAATATTTATATCTTTGCTAAATGGCCTCCACAGGTTCCTCTTTGGCTTTGTGTAATTTATAGTTTCTTGCTGACCTCTTCCATCTTATTAGGTTTCTTTAAAGGACGTCACACGCCTTGCATATTTTTTTGGTGCTGCCCCAGGTTGGCTGCAAAATAGCCTCTGATTTGGTGTTGGCTGATCTATGAGACTGATCATGAATGCAACATTTTTCTTTAATGAGATCTAATCCTTGGACTTCTTTGCCATCTTCAAATCTTCAAAATGTTTTCAGACATGAAATCAGACATGAAAATTGGGTCTGGACATTTAATCCCTAGATTAAACTGAATCAGACGCATTCTTAACAACAGGAAAATGTCCATAACAACTCGTCTTTCCAAGATGACATCTTTGTTGGTCTTTTCTACGTTTTCGAAATGTCATTGACACGCCCACCTGCTCACTGTTTTCCAGACACTTTCCCTCACTTGGAATGTTTTAAACACATTTTATTAGGGGACTGTTCAAGAGAACGTTGAGTTCAACTGACTCAGACATTTGTGTTCTCAATACAGCCCCTTCGGAAAATATCAGGGTCTTCAGTGCTTGTCTTAGAGCAGCTTTAGGGACATGTCATTTTACTGCAGGAAAGGAATGATGATGGAAATTATCATTATCCTTCAGTATTTGCTATAAAAAAAAAGGGACAGAGAATAATCCCCTGCACTACATTTGCAGCGTAATGGCTGTTTCTCCTGGTTAAACATTTTATTGCTTTGAGACACAGTGATGACTTTGCAATCTAACTGCAGAACTGGGATCTAAAGCCCCAGAGGAGATGATGAAACATGTCGTGATTATTTTCGCTCTTTTCCTTTTTCTGTCTCCCCAGGACTTATCATTCAGCTCTTTGTTGCCGTCCAGACTGATTTCCCCCTCTTCATTTCACAATCCTTCCCTCCACCTTGAGCTCTCTCCCTTCCACAGTCAGATCTCTCCGCACACAGAGCCATGGCAGCTGCTAAGCCGAAGGGGCAGAACTCCCTAGCCCTTCACAAAGTGATCATGGTGGGCAGCGGAGGAGTGGGGAAATCAGCCCTAACCCTCCAGTTCATGTATGATGAGGTGAGCATCTTAAACCACAGCTGTCCAGCTAAAATTCATCAAGGTTTTTTAGGTGCAAATTTTGTTGTGTAACGAATCTCTTTCTCCCCTGCCTCATAGTTTGTTGAAGACTACGAGCCGACCAAAGCCGACAGTTACAGGAAGAAAGTGGTGCTGGATGGAGAGGAGGTACAGATTGATATCCTTGACACAGCTGGACAAGAAGACTACGCAGCCATCCGGGATAACTACTTCCGCAGCGGCGAGGGTTTCCTCTGTGTATTTTCCATCACAGAACTGGAATCGTTCGCAGCAACAGTAGATTTCAGGTACTTCTGATTTTTGTTTTCATCAACATCCCTTCTATTATTATTCACTGGGGAATTTGTGAAAATGTCAGAAGATAACATCTCTAGCAATCTTAATGAAAGTGAAATACATTCTTGGATCTATCCCAAAATTTACTGGGCTCTTTTTTGCCCCATTCTTACAAGTCATGTGTAAATCCCTCTAGTAGTTTTTGCAAACCTGAAACCTTGTTTTCTGTGACAGACTTACTGCTGTAAGTCAGTGTTTATTTCTTTGCATAAATCACGGCTGAATGGCATTTCCTCTTTTACAGAGAGCAGATTCTGCGAGTGAAAGAGGACGAGAATGTTCCCTTTCTCTTGGTTGGTAACAAATCAGACTTAGACGACCGACGGCAGGTCAGCGCAGACGAGGCGAAGGCACGTGCTGAGCAGTGGGGCGTGTGCTACGTGGAGACCTCCGCCAAAACCCGTGCCAATGTTGACAAGGTTAGTCTGATCAGCAAAAGATAAGAATTGACTTGGCAAAGGTTTACTTGTTTCACACACAGCAGAGAATTATGATCCCTTTTTATTTTGTACAGGTGTTCTTTGACCTGATGAGAGAGATCCGGGCGAGGAAAATGGAGGACAGCAAAGAGAAGAACGGGAAGAAGAAAAGTAAAAGTTTGGCCAAGAGAATTCGAGAGAGATGTTGTATTTTATAGTGGTAAAAGAGAGCAGGGTCACTGCTGCTGTACATACACATTTCTCAGACTTTTACATTTATTTTGTGCCCATACCTGACCATGACTTTCTGTTCCTGGCTAACAGGACATCTGACCGTGTGTCAGGGAGTAGTAAGGTGGCACGTCATACACCATTTATAGCTCTAACTTTTTATGTGCTGACACTCCAAATAACTTATGTACTCTCTTCTCTTACTCTGACCACATAACAGAGCGTTATAAATGGATGGTGTTTTAATTTAGGCGTTTGACAAGAGGCTAAGCCCTGAAATGTCACACAACCTTTCATTGTAAAGTTTGATGTGTATAATATATTCAGACAGCTGTGCAGTGCAAGTTCCATTGGAAAGATTGAATTAAAAGTGTCAGAGCTGAGGTTTAAATGAGGGGAAAATATAACTGGAGCTCTACTGGAAAGCCCCACTTCATATAATTAGTCCTCGGTCTTTGGTAGGAAGTGTTAACAGAAGTTCAAGTGCCACCTAGGAAATGTACATTACACTGGGAAATCCTGAAAGCATTTTAATTGAAAGATAAGTTCTTAAATTCAATGCTACTTCCATTTGTTGTTTTACACTTCAGTTTCACTCTGTGGTTTAGTTGCCAACACTTATTTTTTAAAGTCAAAGTTATTCTTTCTTATCAACCGATGTAAGATAGACACACTAACGTTTCCCTTCCCTCCCCCCCTCCGGTCACTTTATTGAGTCTTTTCAAATGCACAAACATCATCGATCATAACCTTTCGGACTGTGAGGGATTTTACTACACTTGACATTTTTTCAATTCCAACATTTCAAAATGTTTTACCTCACGTGGCTAATGGCTTTCGTTGCCTTTCTTTGCGATTAAGGAATCCCTGGTGCTCTGATAAACGGTGATTCCATAACACTACATCCTCTTCAACACATCTTCATAAATATAAATGGCTTCCAGACATGTTAACATTTCTATTTCCAGTTTCTTTGCTCTGACTTTTAATTCCCCTCATTTTTAATCTAATGTGTTTCTTGTAATTGGGTCTAGGTAAGTAGGAATAAATTAATGTCAAAACAGAATGCAGGCGTGATGGAAGGAAAGTGGTACAAAAAAAAAAAACCGTCCTCTCGGTCACCAAAGAAATACGCTTGATAGTACAAATAAGTGCCCACTGTTTAATTCAAGTCAATGACACCTTGCTGTGGTGAGCGTCAGAAGTAAGCACTGCAGTGTTTCTTTGTGAATCAGACAGAGGCGAAGGTTGAAGGCGTTTCAGTGGAAGTGGCCAGGGAAAGAGATGTGAGGTTACGAGGGCTTTAGTAATTCATGTACAGTGCATCACTGTTGCCTCTCTGTCCATTGTGAATGTGAATAATCCCAACATGCTCATCCTGTTTGCCTGTAAATCTTAGGCTGCCGATGATGTGCGGAGTTCATCCAAGCTCTGTTTTGTTTACCTTTTGTTATATTCTGTGCAAGTCTCCCCTGTGTGACAATGCTGTTGTGACATCTTAGTGAGATACCTGATGCTCTTGCTCATATGGGTGACTAACTTCACAGCCAGGTGAAGATGATTGCAGTGTAAGGATTGGAAAATGAGAACACGATGCGTGATTTCATTGGAATTATAGAGACCAAATCACACCATGAAATCTGCCCCTTAATTCTTTTAATGTCCTATTTGTGACTATGCTATTTTCACCAAACTTCTGACTTATTTAAAGTAATTTATTTTATTAAAGTCCTTCCACTTTTCAAATTTTAATTTCCCTTCACATTTCACTCTGATCCAGTTCAGGGTCATTAACGCAAGAGCATTTGTGTGTGTGTGTGTGTGTGTGTGTGTGTGTGCACTGCCGACAGCAAGAGCTGTACATTTACATTTAATGACTTTGGCAATCAGTAGGATGCCCAACACTAGAGTCTATGCAAAAAATATTGTGATTTCAAAGTGGATAAAGAGGGGATCAGTGTCTGCAAACTGCTTTTAGTGAGACTGGGGGCAGTAGAAGCACTTGAAAGCTTTTATGTGTGACCACAGCTTAGAAGTTGACTGGCACTCAGTAGAGCATATGCCTCCGCCAAGGCCCAACCGTCCCCTCAAATTCAATCAAGCTGCACTCAAATTGCACACACTCATAGATATCAGTCTCCTGAACATGTCTGATTTTATTCATCAAGGTCCTTGATTGGGAAATTGGTAAAAATGTCCAAAAATGCCTTCTCACAATGTTCAATAATTCCTGGATCTGCCCCTTTGTTCAGATCTTCACCAAAATCTAATGAGTCCTTTCTTGACCCATGTTCCATCCCGTCATTGAGTTTCATGGAAATTCGTTCAGTTGTTTTTTTGTGTAATCCTGCTGACGAAAACAAACCCAACAAACAGGGTTGAACACACAACATCCTTGGCTGAGGAAAAAAAAATCATCCAAAAGTTGTGAAGCGTGCAGAAGAATGAGAAGCATAACACTGTCTCAAATGATTTCATGAGTTAATAGAAGAACGCTAAAGAATCTTAACGCTAAAGATTGAAGGCTTTGTTTTTATAATATATGTCTGTGTGTTAGTTGTATAAAAAGATAGTGATGCGCAGGAATGTCTGTGGCGTTTCATATTTACTGAAAAGCACATTGATAGAGTTTTAGAGGGTGAGACTGGATATGTGAGACGAACTTGAGCCCAAAATATGAGGAACCCGTGGCACCAGAATGTTTGGAAAGTCGTTTGAGATATTTTAAGGGCTAACCACCAGTACCACGATTGAAACACCCCTGATAGTTAAAGTAACAGGCACAAAAACAAACACATAATGTCAGGATCACAGCCTGTTGTGTATGTGATGTACCTATCTGAGCTTATGTCCATTACGTTTAAGTGCTGTGTGTCCACATCGTTGAGAAGCTACTTTACTCAAAGTAACCACCATAGTGCTCGCTTACTCCAACACTGGCTTAACAGCATCTCACTCTTGTTTTATTGCTTTTCTTCAGAAGCAAACACGATTCATCATCCTTCTTTATTCTTTTCTCCTCATGAATATTTTAATAGACTCGATGGCCCAAATATTTTCAACTGGATACTGAAACAGATGTTTGTGTGAAAGCTAAGAGCAGATTGGCTGACTGGGTATTCAAATAACTTGTTTTAGCCTTTTATATAAATACCTTTGGAGTTTAAAATAAATGGCTATCTATGTATTTTGATTGGATGGTTGTACGTATGCCATCGGTGAAATGTTTCCTTCATGTTTACTTATTTTAAACATAACCACTAATGTAGCCTATCTGTCTGTGAATGCAAGAGGTGATGCTTACATTTCAATTCATTTTTTGTGAGTTATTTGGAAATGGCAAATAAAGTGGATATTACTAATAATACTTTCCATGTTTCTTCTTTTTTGTGTGAAGATCTGTCTTGTTTCTTTTTTTAATCAGTTAATTAAGGCAGAATATGACCTTGATAAATTGTCCTTGTTGCACTATAATATGTTTTCACATCTTGGTGCAGCCCACATCCACACTGAGACTTTGTTCTCCCATATTCATTTATCATCATTATCTTTAACAGAAAGCTTCACATTTATGTTTATAGATATTAAATTGTTGTCTTTATAAACTGAGGTGTAATTTGGTTCCTCTTATACAGAAAGTATTTATTATTTTAATCTTATACTGATCTTATATAAAAACAATTTGTGCTAAAAAGGTGAATTTAATTTTAATTTTGAAATCATTTGAAGTGTAATTGGTTCCTTGTCAACATCAGTAAACCTTGAAACACAAACGTTTATTTCTAAATAATTGAATTCCTGTGTATAAACCATATTTATATAAAATCTAAGATATAAATGACATAAACCATAAAACCGGTGGAACTGATGGAGGAAGGGGTTTCCCTTGGCGGTGACGTGCGCCCGGAGCTGATGACGCAGACGCGTGTGATTGGCTCGCAGGGAGTCACGGGAGTTGTAGTTTTAAAGCGGTGCGGGCCTGTGAGCTGCGCTGTTAGCTTCACTGCGAACACACTTTTCATTTGTGGGAATAAACTCCGGCGATTGTCGAGCTGTTCCACGCGGAGAGACGAGCGCTGCTCCCGGACAATGCGGTTGTCGCCGCGGGCTGAGACTCGGCAGGACGCGCGGGGGCGGACGTGTCTTTGAATGACGCTGTCGTAGTTTGCCTCGAACTCCACGCAAAGGAGAAAAGAAAGCTAACGGTGCTAAGTCGCTAGCGGGCTAGCGGCGGCGGCTTCAACTCGCGTGTTGTCCACTTCCTCGTTGCTCCAGTGTGATGATGAGTGTGATGGAAGGAGGCAAGAAGTTTGTGAGCAGGAGTTTGTTGCTCTCCCGTTAACTCCGCTCCGTGGACGGATTCGCCCGCGTTCATGCACCGCGACATTCCGGGGGAAGCGGATCCGAACTGTGCAGCGGCTGTGCGCTTTCACCGCGGATTGGAATGTGTAGCTGGACACAGCTAGTGGAGGCTAGCTGGCTAAACCGACTAGCATTAGCTGGCAGATCTGGGAGATGTCCGTCCTGGAGCACAATGGCTGAGCTCCGACTGGCTCCATAAGTGAGATCCGTATTGTGGACTGTGCGCGACGGAACCTGTCGGCACCGAGTGTCGTGAGTCACCGCGAGGAGTCACTCACTTTATTTTGACCCGACACCCTGCTAGCTTTGTAATGCTAACGTTAAGCCTGTGACTAAGCTAGCTGGCTGGCTGTGTTAATTGTGAAATAGCTGTAGCTTCAGCTAACTAGCCTGTTACAGAGCTAGCCCAATGTTTTGTTCCGCGACACAACGGGGGACATAGTTTAGGAAAAGTACTTAACTTAAAGGTTATTCTCCACGTGACATTATTTTTTTGCGGGGGAGATAAATGCCTAACTCGGACGTGCTTCGGGAGGGTCGGGGACGGAGCCCCTCGGCGCAGAGAAATGCTAACAGGCAGGACAGGCGGAGTAAACCGGGGAGCGGTGCTGCCCAGCGAGAGAGACACCGTGAGAAGAGGCGGTCGTCGGCTTCCAGGAGAAAGAAACGCAGACAGACCAAGGGGAGAGACGCGTGGAACACCGGTACAACAGAGGGCAACGACCGGAAAAGCACTTTCGACAAAGAGGTTGAACTACGGACGCTGGTGGAGTATGATGACGTGAGCTCCCAGTCTGAGCGGTTCTCCGGGAGCCCCTCTCCCAAACTTGACCCCCACGCTGACCGGCTCTCCGTGGACCGGCTCAGCGACTTCGGTGACTGTAACGGACCAGCATCCCCGACCAGGAGTCAGCCGAGAAACCGGGAGGCAGCGAGCAAGGACGGACAGACGAGAGGAGCATCCGAGAGGAGCAAGCAGGAGAAGGAGTCAGGGAGGAAAAAGGAGCGCCAGAGCCGGGAGAGAGACTCCTCCAAGGCTCGGAGTGGAGGTGGCCTCAGCGGCTCCAAGAACCACAGAGACACAACGAGGGGCACTGACAGAAACGGTAAAAGGACCTCTACATCTCAGCCCTCCCAATCTGCAGAGAAAAAGGATTCAAAGAGGCACAGAAGTAAAACAAGATCTGATAAAGAACCCCCGTCTGCGTACAGAGATGCTCCACAATCTTACAGAGATGACCGTGAAGACCTCAGGGCGTACAGGAGAAGTCCTGGTTTTAAAACAGAAAGTCCCTATGGGACATCCTACCCCTACAGCTACCAATCTCCTGGTGGTTACAACCAGCTGATATCTAGAAGAAGTCCAACTTATGGGAGCAAGAGACTCTCTCCCAGTTCAACATATTACAACCGGGACACTGATGTGTATGGGGCTTATGGGATAACAAAGTCACCCAGTTCATACTCCAGCAACAAAAGGAAGAGATCCCCGGCGAGCCCAGCGAACTGGCGAAGGTCACCAAGTTATGGCCGACACAGTCCGTATGAACAAGGAGAGTTTGGTTCAAGTCCTTATGGAAACCGCAGGAGATCAAGGAGTCCGTACAGGAAGTCCCTGAGCCCCAGTCCAGATGTCAGGTGAGTTGTTAAAAGTTTGTTGCCTGTGTTCTTATTGTTTGGTGACTTCTTGGCTCTACCACATTCAATAAAGATTTGGTGTGAAGCAGCTTTTCTCAATTTTGTTTGAAATTGTTGCACAATGGAAAGAATGATAATAATAAGCACAATTTTCTCATTTTCTTTTGATATTTGTTGGTGTATCTATGTAAAACTTCCAAAGCCATTGACCAGCCAGTCCATTAAGTCAGATAAAAACTTATCTGGCTAAACTATGAATTAATGTAGATGACAGTCATGTGGAAAAGTTTGTAATGTAGAAGCAGAGATGCAAAAATATGTCCTTGTCTTTTTCCCCAGGCGATCTGCACGTTCACGTAGCAGAAGTCCATATTCATCCTCAAGGCATTCACGTTCCCGCAGCCGCCACCGTCACTCCCGCTCCCGCAGTCGCCCCTCCAGCCTGTCGCCAAGCACACTCACCTTCAAAACCAGTCTCGCTGCTGAACTCAGTAAGCAGAAAAAGGTGAAAGCTGCTGAAGCTGCTGCCAAAGCCAAGAACTCCAGCAACACATCTACTCCAACCAAGGTTCCCTCATCTGCTCACCAACCGAGCCCTAAGTTAAATCATGCTTCCAGGAAGGGCCGTCCTCCCTCTCCACCTCCACCAGAGAAAGGTCCCAGGACACCAACGACCATCCAGCCGCAGTCTCCCTCTGACAGGACATCCAGGAAGACCAGCGACCATCAGACCAGCAGGGATAGGGAAGGAAAGGGGAAGGATGACTCTGTACTTCGGGACAAGAGGAAAGCACCAGCACCTGGACAGAGCAAAGACAAGGAACGAGCCACCGGTCCACTCATCTCTACTCTATCATCGCTACCACTGCCCCCAACTGTTCTGGAGCAAATGGATAAAGCAGACGGGTATGTTTGTGTGTTTAGTGTCAGTTGAACTTGAATTGTATGCATTTTTTCACTTGATTGCAAAGACTTAATCACACTCTGTCCGTCTGTGTTTCTTCTTTACTCTGTCACTATCAGTTTGCTCTCAGGGAAGAAAAAGTCAGAGAGAAAGGCTCGCCCACTTTTGACCGACTTGCCTCTCCCCCCTGAACTTCCTGGTGGCACGTCCTCCCCTCACAGCCCATTCGATGACAAAAAGTCTCTAACACTTCGCAGAAGACCCAAGTATGTTAGGTCGCATTGAGCGCTCGATCAGCTTTTCCTTTGCTACCGTTTTCATGGTTGCGTGTATTTTCTTGAACTTCACAGAATTTGCGGCCCAAGATACGGTGAAATCAAGGAAACGGAGATAGATTGGGGCAAACGCTGTGTGGACAAGTTTGAGATCATTGGAATCACTGGGGAAGGCACCTATGGACAGGTGTACAAAGCTAAAGATAAAGACACTGGTACGTCTGTTGAAACTCTTCATATATATATGTGGAGATACGCTCATGATCTAGTTTTGAGGACCAGTGTTTTTCATGTTTTACAGCTGAGATGGTGGCTTTGAAGAAAGTTCGACTGGACAATGAAAAAGAGGGCTTCCCAATCACGGCCATCAGAGAGATAAAAATTCTGCGGCAACTCAACCACAAGAGCATCATCAACATGAAGGAGATCGTCACAGACAAGGAGGATGCTCTAGATTTCAAAAATGATAAAGGTAAACTTTGGCGTAGTAGCTGATCCTGCCACACAACAGATTTCTATATGGACTTTTTAATGACTTTTTTTTCCTTCAACCTCAGGGGCTTTCTATCTTGTTTTTGAATACATGGACCACGACCTGATGGGTTTGCTTGAGTCTGGCCTGGTTCATTTCAACGAGAGCCACATCAAGTCTTTCATGAGACAGTTGCTGGAGGGTCTCGATTACTGCCACAAAAAGAACTTCCTGCACAGAGACATCAAGTGCTCCAATATTCTGCTCAACAACAAGTAGGTCTTTGGGATCTCACACAACTCAATGAACATCGTTTCAGTGCTTTATGTTTTCAAGCGTGTTTTTCAGCTGGATTTAACCAGTGTTTTTCTGCTCTCTTCCTAATCAGAGGTCAAATAAAGCTTGCAGACTTTGGTCTCGCTCGGCTGTATAACTCTGAAGAAAGGTGAGCCTATGTTATTCTTGTAAGCTCCACTTATCAAACATTCTTGTCCTTGTATGTGAATCAATAATAAACTACATTCTCCCTTTTAGTCGACCGTACACAAACAAAGTGATCACACTATGGTACCGACCCCCAGAGCTGCTCCTGGGAGAAGAGAGGTACACGCCGGCCATCGATGTATGGAGCTGCGGGTAAGGACAGGGCTGATAAGGACTTTACATATGTGACTCGCTTATCTATGACACTGTGTCATAGGTTTGTTCTCATAATC